AGTGGCACAAAAGTGCGTGCACCAAATCACAAATCGCGTGAAGTGAAATGTAAACAAGACTATATCATTGGCTCGTTGCTTTCTGTATGTTTTTAGCAAGTTAAACATATTTGGCATATCAACTGCTATCATTACTAAAAACTAAAAGCTTTTATTCAGATATCCAAGGCCGAGATCCAGGGCCAAGCTTACTGGGATATACCGGAATAAGATGCAAAACTATATAACATTGGTAAGGGTATATAGCCGATTTTTCTTTTTTACCCTACCTCGTGGCCGCGTGAGTACAGTTCCTCCAGGATCTGACGCATGTTCATGTACTGTGAGCCTCCAACAACATGAAAACCAGCGATTCGGGAAGTTAAAACGGGGCTGACGAACAAGGTTAGGATGTAGAGCAACATTAACATGAAAGCCATATTGATTATGTTGACGATGTCACGATTCGCCATGCTCATATTTATTGGGTTTCGTACCCAGTCTTGTTCAAAACAGCAGCGTGTTGTGAGACCACTAGGGCAAGTCATTTAAGCTAGCGGTGTCACAGTGATATTAGCATCCTCATTCCCAAAACCCTAGTGATACGGGCATCCCCTGTAACCCTAACCCAAATCGCTAAGGTAATATGAGGAGGGGATGCCTATATCCCTAGTGTTTTGGGAATGGGGATGCCCACGGCCATATCACTGTAACAGCAGCGGAGGGGTTGGGGGGAGAGTGTCTACCGGGTAGGACCCCGGGGGGTGCTCGACAAAGTTTTATAAGGGGAGGCTCCGTCCTGAGGTCCAAACCCGAACCCTTTTATAGACTATTTTAGGTACCCCTTTCGTCACTTGTCTTTAAAATATGACAATATGAAAAGGAAAGGAGCCCACTCTGAGCCCAATGTGGGGCTAAGCGCGCCGTTTATCCGACTCGGCCCCCAGCTCGTTCCCAGACCCTGCAATCCTTTTGATCAGCACCAAAGATCAGGACAATGATAACAAAGACTCTGGGGACGAGACTGACTAGGTACTCCTGACTCGTCCCCAGCCTTCTTCGCGTAACGCGCCAGGCCGTGCAACACTACGGAGAGGTTGTGAAAGACGACTGGGGAACAGTCAGTAGGTACTCTGCTCAAGGCAAATACGTTCAATACTTAAAGAGCTAGGTCAGTTCCACATATAAATGTTGTCTTTGTACTTTGAGGCGCAAAGTATTCAAAGTCCATTTTCTAAGTTTTCAACTGCACTATACACAAAACAAAAGCCGCATTTTAAGGTTCGGCTGAGCTTTTGTTTCTTGTTGTTGGTGGTTTTACTCTTGTTTAATCCTTCTTGGCTTTGTCGCTGCTCCTTTTACAGCACAAACGACATAGGCATGTACAGCTCAACCTGATCACCACGACAACCAAGGTCACCATAGCAACAAGGAAAGCTATGACATCAAGTAGGAAGTACTGATACCAAGGGATGTTAAACACTTGAGCTCTGAGATGCCGAGCTCCACCATGTCTGATCACATACTCTATCCAATCACAGGTCTCTTGAAGAGGGGAGCGTGGACGGTCTTTTAACAGACTGGAGATACGCATGGCACTCTGCTTGAATCTGGAAAATACAGCCACGCTATAATTCGCCCCATGAAAAGGAATCTGGATTCCCGATTGATTCCGGGAAATTTTGGCTATGGAATCCGGATCCTGGACTTTGGAATCCGGAATACAGTTCAAGGAATCCGGAATCCCACTAAGGATTGTAACGGAATCCAAGTTCCACTGACAAAGACTGGAATCCAGAATCCAAGACTGTCTTAGATTCCCTTTTGTGGGGCGGCTATAATGTCATGGAACGGTGGCAAAACTGGCCTCGTTTGCCGAAATTAGTTTAGGCAATCATTCACACCTCTCATTTTCAGCAAATTTCCCGATCATAATTGTTGAAAACCTTGTGCATTTCTTCCCCAGCATTCAAACTTCATTCCGAAAGGTTAATGCCCATGTAAGCCTTACGAAGTGCAATAAGTGCAATAAGTGTTCGCGGGCAAGAAGTCAGAGTATGTATGTACTTATGTTGTGTTTCCGAAAATGTTTCAGCCAATTATGACCGTGATTGCTGAGTCATATTGCCTAAGAAAGAAATATTCCTTGATATTTACGTATAGACACTGGCTGTAAAGTAGCCTTAATTTTGAGTTGGTCACAAAACCAAAAGTTCTACAGGCGTGGCTTTGAAGGCGGAGATGGAGACTAGGAGAGAAACGCGTGGTTAGTTTCTAACCTCTCTCGCTTTAAACTGCCGTTGGGGATGTTGGCCTCTAGCAAGCAGCGATTTCGAAAAAAAAAAATCGACTTAAAAACACTTATACATATACACACTTATAACAGTGGAAGAAACTGAAACCAGATATCACCTTGGTTCTCTCACGACCAGCTCGATTGTTTCAACAAGTTGTTGGACAGTAGTACTTCTGTGATTAACTGTCAAACCAAGACCAAAGTGTTGCGCTTTTTTGGCATTCGCAAACTGATCTGCGAATAATGGAACAGCTACCACAGGAACTCCATGATATGTAGACTCATAAAGACTGTTGTGTCCTACATGAGTCACAAACGCTTTGATGTCCTTGTGACCCAGAAGATCATTCTGAGGTAACCAGTCCACTACTTTAATGTTTGAACCCAGAAATGAAGGTATGTAACCTGAAAGAAATGTTTTATCTGATATTAATATGAAACACGAACTATACCCAGCCCCATAAGGTCTTAAGTGAAATTGGCTAATTAAGTGACCCAGAAGCCCCAATTCACTCCCATGGCTAATTAACAAGAGATATGTTGAACGTTTCGAAACTTTTGAGTCTGTGAATATGGTGTAACAATTCAAATGAAAGCTACTGAACAGTACTTTCCTGTGGTGCTGTTTATTATGCTGTACAAGGTGGTTCTAACTTTTGAGTCTGTGGATGAAATCCTATGGTGTGACCATTCAAATGAAAGCTACTGAACAGCACTTTCCTGTGGTGCTGTTTATTATGCTGTACAAGGTGGTTCTAACTTTTGAGTCTGTGGATGAAATCCTATGATGTGACCATTCAAATGAAAGCTACTGAGCAGTACTTTCCTGTGGTGCTGTTTATTATGCTGTACAAGGTGGTGCTAACTTTTGAGTCTGTGGATGAAATCCTATGATGTGACCATTCAAATGAAAGCTACTGAGCAGTACTTTCCTGTGGTACTGTTTATTATGCTGTACAAGGTGGTTCTAAACTTTGAGTCTGAGGAAAAAATCGTATGTAATCAGCAGTACTTGCGCATGGTTACATATGAAATCTGGGATCTTTTAACAACCATTCATGGGACTGGATGTTTTAACGACGACGTTTGTCCTTAAGTGACAGTACCTTTGAGTCTCCACACAACTCGTTCTTTAAGTTTTCCAAACGCTAAAGCTAACATGTCCACTTCCGCTTGAGGGAGAAGAGAAGCTACGTTCGATCCAAAGGAAACTATGATAAAACCATTCCCCCCTGAACTACTAATAAATTCTTCAAAATCAGGGGGGATGAGATTAGGATCTTTGACACTCAAGGGCCCAACCATAACTTGACCTGCAGATAAACATAAAATAAGAAAAAAGTAGGTTAACGAATTTGACGAAGAGCCAGTGTTTCAAAGGTCACTAAAAATGCGGTGACGGTAAGGTTCTGGCGATCACCAAATGAATCGACCTGTTTTGTATACATTCCAGCTAAAATCTTTAAAACTTTTAATTTGCTTCGTTTCCATTACTNTTTAAGTTTTCCAAACGCTAAAGCTAACATGTCCACTTCCGCTTGAGGGAGAAGAGAAGCTACGTTCGATCCAAAGGAAACTATGATAAAACCATTCCCCCCTGAACTACTAATAAATTCTTCAAAATCAGGGGGGATGAGATTGGGATCTTTGACACTCAAGGGCCCAACCATAACTTGACCTGCAGATAAACATAAAATAAGAAAAAAGTAGGTTAACGAATTTGACGAAGAGCCAGTGTTTCAAAGGTCACTAAAAATGCGGTGACGGTAAGGTTCTGGCGATCACCAAATGAATCGACCTGTTTTGTATACATTCCAGCTAAAATCTTTAAAACTTTTAATTTGCTTCGTTTCCATTACTTTAATGGTCTTATTTTAAGTTATATAACAGTTTGCCAGCTTAGAAGAGCGTCTGCAAGAACTGCGGAAGGTTTTCTAAGTAATTTTGTTTATTACTTAAGTTTTAATGACTTCTTGTGATCATAAAGCCTTTTCACTCTCGTGACCGGCTGCTATGCAATTGTATTGAAACAAAAGAAAGCTTTTACATAAAAAAAAGCCTCAATTCCCACAGGATTAATTGTTTTGGGACATGACGAATGCGACGTCATGTGAAAACGTTTTTTAGCCATCTGACTGGGTCAGTTTTGTGTCGAATTGCATTATGGGGCTGTTTTAGTGGATGAGTTTTGACCCAGTTTTCTACGCAAGTGAAAGAAGTGACAGCGTCCCCTACAGACTCCCATAGTGCAATTCTACACATGACCGACCCAGTCTCTGCGCATACTCAAGCGCAAAATCGACCTCGTCCCCTGGCATTCTCGTCCCCAGAGCCCGTCGTTTCTTGGTCACGTGGTCTTCGTTACAAATTAAGCCGAGTGGCTCTGGGAACGAGAATGGTCCCCTGGGTTCTTGAAGGAGAACCTTGGGAAAGAGGTTGCCTCGGAATGGCCAAAACAAAAATTAAAAAGGGTGACGATTATCTTTAGACGTCTTCGTAATCACTATAGGGAGCTTAAGCAACTACGAGGACAGTGAAAATGTCGCTAAAAAACTGAATTTGCGTCCCTTTAAACTTTATCGCCTCTATTTCGACCCGCGCAATATGTCATATGTAGGGGACTTTCCTAGACATGGTTTTCGTCGTGCAGAGCTGTTGTTTTGCTCATAAAGGTCATGTTAACACGGGACGATACACAACGCCGATTTTAGCGCAACACAGCGTTGCAATATTGGAATAACGTTGCAACCATTCAAAACAATATCGCAACAATATTGCAACGCGATAAAATCGTCGTTGCGAATCGTCTCGTGTATTACACATCACCTTAAAAACAATTGTGTTTCACGTGGTCGTTGCCTCGCCGCCGTCGTCGTAGTTGCTTAAGCTCCCCTACTTGAATACCTGGCAACAAAGGAAGTGGATACTCCAGTGCGAAGTCTGCCGTAATTATGACCATTTCTGCATCACCAACAGCTTCCTGGAAACTTCTTTCAGGTTTGATATTGAACTTGATCTTAAGATTATTCATTGGCCTGTCAAGTACGAGACTCAAGACTAGTCTACTGCCAAGATAGGCTACCAAATTTATCACCCGTTCCCCAAAAGTCATCTTATCAGTGAGATCTGGTTTGATAAGCTGTGGAACGTAGGACACAGGCATGGGGGTCATATGATAAGCGTTTAATAAAATATTTGGCGGATAAGGAAAAATTTCCACCCTTGGAATGTCAAGGAATTCTCCAACCAAAGGAGCGCAATATATACCACCATAGTAAATAATCAGGTCGTAATTCTTTAGTTCATCAAGCACGTCTGTACTGTTTAAAGCGCCTCCACACAAGCCGTTTAGTATCCCAGACTTTTTCATGAACAACTCGAATGTGCGCCCTTCTATTTCAAGTCGAATGAAATCGTCAAGAAAGTCAGGTTTAAATGGCACTTGGTACGTTCGGTGCTGTATCTTTTCACTGGGTTTGATTTGCTGACTAGATGGAGTAAACAATGCGACCTAAAGGACAAAATGTATCATGAGAACCTACCCCTCCCCTAAGCTAACATTAACACTTATTTCTCACTTAGAGCAAAATGATGGCTTAGGGGAGGGGTAGGTGGGTAGTTTCCCAGAAACTTAAATTGATCCAATTAGACAACGCAGAGAAGTAATGCAAATAGGGGATAGAAGAGACCTTGCGTTTCAGTTTCTGGGAAACTGCCCACCTACCCCTCCCCTAAGCTAACATTAACACTTATTTCTCACTTAGGGCAAAATGATGGCTTAGGGGAGGGGTAGGTGGGTAGTTTCCCAGAAACCTAAATTGATCCAATTAGACAACGCAGAGAAGTAATGCAAATAGGGGATAGAAGAGACCTTGCGTTTCAGTTTCTGGGAAACTGCCCACCTACCCCTCCCCTAAGCTAACATTAACACTTATTTCTCACTTAGGGCAAAATGATGGCTTAGGGGAGGGGTAGGTGGGTAGTTTCCCAGAAACTTAAATTGATCCAATTAGACAACGCAGAGAAGTAATGCAAATAGGGGATAGAAGAGACCTTGCGTTTCAGTTTCTGGGAAACTGCCCACCTACCCCTCCCCTAAGCTAACATTAACACTTATTTCTCACTTAGGGCAAAATGATGGCTTAGGGGAGGGGTAGGTGGGTAGTTTCCCAGAAACCTAAATTGATCCAATTAGACAACGCAGAGAAGTAATGCAAATAGGGGATAGAAGAGACCTTGCGTTTCAGTTTCTGGGAAACTGCCCACCTACCCCTCCCCTAAGCTAACATTAACACTTATTTCTCACTTAGGGCAAAATGATGGCTTAGGGGAGGGGTAGGTGGGTAGTTTCCCAGAAACCTAAATTCAATTAGACAACGCGGAGAAGTAATGCAAATAGGTGATAGAAGAGACCTTGCGTTTTAGTTTCTGGGAAACTGCCCACCTACCCCTCCCCTAAGCTAACATTAACACTTATTTCTCACTTAGGGCAAAGTGATGGCTTAGGGGAGGGGTGGGTGGGTAGTTTCCCGGAAACCAAAATTGAGCCAATTAGACAACGCGGAGAAGTAATGCAAATAGGGGATAGTAGAGACCTTGCGTTTCAGCAACGTGCTCTCCAATGGAAACGTCACTGAGAAAAATGATCGACCTGCTTGGGTCCTTTTAAACTTTTTTCACGATTATTCAAGTTCACCCAGTCTCAGAAGTTGGGAAATTAAGTTAGAGCTGAAGCTAGAGGGGATCCGAAGCAGGAACTAAAAAGATTTTTCACGTGGTAGTTGTGCAGTGGACGGCAAAGAAATTTTCGATCCACTTCCGGTTTATGCTCGATTACCAGGTGCTCCTCCAGGACCGGCGAGGGAGGGTAGGGGAATAGAGGCGACTTCCGGTTGCACGTGCTGCACCTCACAAATCGCGTGATGTCTTCCACGAAAATGTTAATAAGACTGCATCATCGGCTCGTTGCCTTCTGCGTTTGTTTACAAACTGTTTTTAATGGTTAAACATACCTGTCATATCAAGTCAGTGCTACTCTAACAAGCACACTAATATTCAGATATCCAGAGCCAAACAAAATTATATAAAATTGGTTAAAGTAGAAAACGAATTATTTTTATTTCTACCTCGTGGCCGCGTGAGGACAGTTCTTCCAGCATCCGTCGCATGTTCATGTACTGTGAACCTCCAAAAACATGAAATCCAGCGATTCGGGCAGTTAAAACGGGGCTGACGAACAGCGATAGTGTATACAGCAACATTAACATACAAACCATATTGATTATGATCAAAGATGTCACGCTTCGTCACGCTTATATTTAAAAGGCTTTCTCCTCCCCAGTCTTGTTCAATTCCAATATAGCAGCATCTTGTGAGAGCACTGGGGCGAGTCAGCGGCGCTGAAAGAAGGAGGGAAAAGCCCTAGGAACTAGAGTTGGGATCAGCTGCCCCGCCATTTTTTCTTAGTTGTTTTATATACACTATAGTCCATGTGGTAGATCAAAGCTAATAACCTACGTTCGATAAGATAAAATTCTTACATGACTCCAAGGCTTTCTGGTCATTTTTCCATAATTTGTTTGGTCTTCTTTGTACTCAAGTCTCTTCTTGGAATTTCGAGACAATGGAGTCGTGAAAAATTTGCAATTTTGTCCCTTAGGCCTCTGAGTCATGTTAAAATTTTAATATACCGTAAAATTCCGAAAATAAATCCCGGGGCTTCTATTTTTCAAAGGCCCTTTTTTAGGGGCTTATTTTTGGAGGGGCTTATCTATGGAGGGAAATTTGAGTTTCAAAATCGATTGGGCAATCCTGTTAGAAGGAAATTTTATCGTTTTTGCTTTGTTTTACTTTGTATTTGAGAGCAATTTCCAAGTACCAACCCCTGAGGGGGCTTATGTTTGGAGGGCGATTTAACGGAGGGTTTTTTGCATTACGAGTTTGGGGGGCTTATATTTGGAGGCGCTTATACATGGAGGGACTTATTTTCGGAATTTTACGGTATCGAACGTGGGCCATCGAAGACCACTTCCCGCGGGGCTTGGCTGCCGGAGTACAGGTCTGGTCAGTACGGTGAGGATGTTGTATATTTTAGGTGTTGAAGCCGAATTCCTAAGCTCCCTGGGAACTTTTCGGAACTGAATTTCAAGGGGCTTATCATGGAAGGCTTATTCGGGTTTTAAATTTGGGGGGTAATGTTGGAAGGAGGTTGAGCTCCTTATTTAAGGAATTTGACACGGTGTATTTAAGCCTTCCATTAAAAAACTGAACAGCAAATCTTACTTTAAAACTATAAGAATTTTTTATACGTTTGTGATACCATCGGGCATTGGAACTCTTGCGGCCCTCTTTTACTTCAGTAAAAGAAAATTGTTTGTGTAGAAGAAAATAACGTTCGGAAATGTTCAGGTCATACGGAAATTACCTAAATCGGGTGAAAGCGGCCTTAACACAAAATAATACAGGCAATCGACAAAAAGTGAAGAAGATTTCCGTCACTTTGGTAACTAATTGAAATGAATGCTTAATTATATATTGAAGGCACGGCTGCTAAAATCTTTGGATACCGAAAACAAGGCGGAAATATGCATTTTATTCCTTCCAACTATTAACTTGACGAAACTGACAAAGAAACATTTTAATAATTTGTTTATTAGTTACGTTTAAAAATTGATGAACCGGATGTTATCTTTGAGACAGATAAAAAGCAAAATATTAAAAAAAATCAAATCCAATACCTTCTTCAAATATAATATTTAGATGATAGGCATAAGTTCATATAACTGAGATTGGAACTGCTTTTTTAACTGGGTTTCTGGATAACTTTCGAGAGATTTTTCTCAGTATTTTCAATGCCAAATATGAAGACAACCGGGGAGGATGAGCCGGGCTTTGCGCAAAGGACATTCACCCCAATGTATCAATGAGTCCTCCGCTGAGCTGAGTTCTTGTTTTTAGTAAATCTTATGGCTTCATGAAATTTCGCCAAGTCGTTCACGCCGGTTTTGATTCCCGCAGCTGGAGACAAAACGATAAATATTACAATTGTGAATTAAGATCGATAGGGGAGTTGTCCAACTCAAAAAATTTATGCAAAACGCCTTCAGGATTTACTTTAACAACACGAAAACCTAGTTTTTCCTTTCCTAAAGAACTCGTTTGAATTATTTCTAATCCTTGGTCTTTTCCTACACCATTTACGTGACCTGTGAATACATATTTTACTTCAGCTTCGGTAAGTTTAGGGGCAACTTCTTGACGGACACATGCATCAAGGTTATTATCATGGTAAGGTTCATCTATAGATTTACAGAACCACGGAGTAGATTGAAGAAGAATTATTTGTCGCGGCGGATTAACCTGAGCTTCTAATAATTTCGACTCCAGCCATTCTCGTTGTTCTATCCTTAAACTTTCTGTGTTTCCACTTGGATCTTTGAAATACGCCGTGTTTAGCACCAAGAACTGTACTCCTTCGACCCAGAAAGCAAACCAATCATCGCCGAACGTTTTTCGATATGATTCAACGTAGCTTAAAGTCGGTGGATCTCCGCAGTCCGAGCGACCGCAAACACATACAACGGGTATTTCCGCGCTTAGATTATCGAACGAAGACTTGAATAACTCTAGCTGCGGGAAAAATTCTTTGTCGTTTGGCTCAGCGTTGGTGAAATTTCCATGAACAACCAAAAATCTTGGTTTGGGTTTCATGTTGTTCAAACAGTGGACTATTTTATCCATGGTCTGTTTTTCTACCTCGCAACTTTCTTCCGGGTGTGCGGAAAGGCCAAATTTCGGCGCAACGACTTGCACGAAAAAAAAGTTCTCGTTGCAGGTACTTTCACGGTATCTTGTAAACATGGGCAATTTACAATCCGCTGCTTTTAAAATACGGCTTTCCTCGGGCGTCTTTCCCGCTCTACTTGCTTGATTCATGGCCAACGCATCAGGGTGAATATCCAAATTCAAACCAATGTTGTCTGGACGAAGCATTTTTTCTCCTAGATTTCCTATCGCGTTAAAACCGCCGATGGTTTGAAAATTTTGCCAACTATAGTCTTGTATCATCTATTTAAATTTTCCACCGGTTATCACGAAAACATATGGCTTCTACACAACACATGCGTAATGAAGACTGTAATGAATGAAGTTACAGTCATATGCAAATATCAAACTGATTATAGTTCTCTTCGGCGAATCACAGTAGCGGAGGAAATATACTGAATGACTTTACTTGGTATGAAACAATGTTCAAAACGATTGCTTTGCGTTATTAAATTAAAGTCGCCAGTGCTAAAGGTCTAAAGTCGAAAACATATTTTAGTGCATTTTTTCGCAATGATCGACGACTTAAAAAAAACGGCAAAAACCAACTGAAATCTTTCTTTCTTAATTATTCCTTTACATAGGCTTGGCTGAATTGAAGAAAAGGCCATAATCCGTAAAAAAAAATTCTGTTTGACGACAGAATATTTTTCGCATTGTCAATTTTTTGATTTACAACAAAAAATATGTGAATAAAATTCCTGCAAAAATTCACTTGTCCATTAGAGGAAACTTTCCTCGAAAGATGCGCTAACTTCTGGTAAAACTAAAGAATTAGCTATATTTTCATTCATTTTGTCATTTAGACTTGCGAAACTCTGCTGAGATTGATTGATTCCTTGGGTTAAAAAGGCAAAAAACGGGATGAAACAGCAGCGATAAGAAAACATGAAATCGGCGAGCGAAGCGAGCCAAATTTTTTGTTGTTGTTTTGTTTTTCGCCTTTTTCCCCCACTGCGGAGCCTGGTCCAAGCTTACATTATCAGCAACATTGAGAGATTTTTGGCAAAAAGACCAATTCAAACTTCCAAACACTGACAGACACGCAAATGACCACGCGGAGTGCACGCGCGCGCGTGCACTTCCCTTACTAAATCTGAAGAAAAAGAGAGAGACTGTTTGCAGGCTACTCGCTATTTCGTCACTATAACAAATCTGTACAATTTCACGCGGTTTAAAAGAGTTTTTGCTTTTCGCTATGCAATAGAGGGACTTACACTTGATGGTCTACCTTCATGTGGTTGCAAGGCCGTAATTTTTAACACCCACAAGGCACAGCTCCAGCAGGCCCTTTTAACCCAGTCTGGTCGAGCATACAACATGAAATACTTGCGGCCTGGAAACAGACGTCTTGTGTTTGGTTAGTAGACGATAAAAAGGCAAATAAAAACATAAATATTCTTCTAATTAAAAAATTGTAATAATTGTCGGTGCAGTAGTAGCCTGAGAACATATTCTTACGTACGGATGAATGGTTTTTAAATCCCTGAAACTTACACTGGGAAAGTGTAACGGACTAAACAACCAAATCTGATAATTTTGTCAAATCGAAGAACATCAAGGGAATATATCCCAACCAAAGTATGCTCATTTAACAAAAAGGTGTAAATTACAGCTCTTTTGATGATAGGCTCCTAAACTATCAACAGACGTAATCTGACAGAGAATGTCTAGACTTGCTACAAGTCGACCTCTCATACAAGTCCTTAAAAGTGAGCGAAGTGAGCTTCAAAGCATACGGTCCAAAAAGTCGAGTAAATGTCTTGTTATCTGCACAGACAGTTGATCATTACATTATGAAAATTGTGTAATATGAGGTAATAAATTAGTAGTAGTTATCAAAGATTAATAAGGTGTGGTAGAGATTCCAGTTGATGTGTCATAACACATGATTTTGAGGCAATGGAGAACAAGTGTGATGACATGTGGTTTTGACATGAAAATGAGGCAAGTAGCTCTCATGAAAATGAGGTAAATCTGGGACAGAGAAAATGCCCACCCTTCAAGGACGTTTATCCCCAGTATTCAAAGGACAGCCACCAGGAAACAAAATTAGCAAGTGGTCTGTCAACCTCGATGATTAATACATTTCAATGCAATTTACAGAGTTGACAACTAAGAACATTTTCAGTGGCAGAGGTCCGCAGTTGTTCAGCATGCCCAGAAAGTTGAAGTCCCTAGATACTCCAGGCAGCCAACCGATACAGTTATTAAAAATTCTTAAACTATCTTAAGTAACGGTGTATTGGGGATTTGGGCACTAAACATGTGCAAAGAACAAAACCAAATATGAAAAAGCTTGGCCCACTAGCCTCCACCAGACACTCTTGGAGCTTTGTTACACATTGACAAAGAGTTAAGAACATCTGTATGGAAGCTACTGTATGGTTCCACTAACCTCAAGGTCAAACGATTCTCCACAAGCCCTCCACAGTTAAACAAATGTTTTATTGTGAAACAAGATGTGACAGTAAAACAACACAGTCCCAACCTAAATTCACATAAAAACAAGGCGGAAATATGCATTTTATTCCTTCCAACTATTAACTTGACGAAACTGACAAAGAAACATTTTAATAATTTGTTTATTAGTTACGTTTAAAAATTGATGAACCGGATGTTATCTTTGAGACAGATAAAAAGCAAAATATTAAAAAAAATCAAATCCAATACCTTCTTCAAATATAATATTTAGATGATAGGCATAAGTTCATATAACTGAGATTGGAACTGCTTTTTTAACTGGGTTTCTGGATAACTTTCGAGAGATTTTTCTCAGTATTTTCAATGCCAAATATGAAGACAACCGGGGAGGATGAGCCGGGCTTTGCGCAAAGGACATTCACCCCAATGTATCAATGAGTCCTCCGCTGAGCTGAGTTCTTGTTTTTAGTAAATCTTATGGCTTCATGAAATTTCGCCAAGTCGTTCACGCCGGTTTTGATTCCCGCAGCTGGAGACAAAACGATAAATATTACAATTGTGAATTAAGATCGATAGGGGAGTTGTCCAACTCAAAAAATTTATGCAAAACGCCTTCAGGATTTACTTTAACAACACGAAAACCTAGTTTTTCCTTTCCTAAAGAACTCGTTTGAATTATTTCTAATCCTTGGTCTTTTCCTACACCATTTACGTGACCTGTGAATACATATTTTACTTCAGCTTCGGTAAGTTTAGGGGCAACTTCTTGACGGACACATGCATCAAGGTTATTATCATGGTAAGGTTCATCTATAGATTTACAGAACCACGGAGTAGATTGAAGAAGAATTATTTGTCGCGGCGGATTAACCTGAGCTTCTAATAATTTCGACTCCAGCCATTCTCGTTGTTCTATCCTTAAACTTTCTGTGTTTCCACTTGGATCTTTGAAATACGCCGTGTTTAGCACCAAGAACTGTACTCCTTCGACCCAGAAAGCAAACCAATCATCGCCGAACGTTTTACGATATGATTCAACGTAGCTTAAAGTCGGTGGATCTCCGCAGTCCGAGCGACCGCAAACACATACAACGGGTATTTCCGCGCTTAGATTATCGAACGAAGACTTGAATAACTCTAGCTGCGGGAAAAATTCTTTGTCGTTTGGCTCAGCGTTGGTGAAATTTCCATGAACAACCAAAAATCTTGGTTTGGGTTTCATGTTGTTCAAACAGTGGACTATTTTATCCATGGTCTGTTTTTCTACCTCGCAACTTTCTTCCGGGTGTGCGGAAAGGCCAAATTTCGGCGCAACGACTTGCACGAAAAAAAAGTTCTCGTTGCAGGTACTTTCACGGTATCTTGTAAACATGGGCAATTTACAATCCGCTGCTTTTAAAATACGGCTTTCCTCGGGCGTCTTTCCCGCTCTACTTGCTTGATTCATGGCCAACGCATCAGGGTGAATATCCAAATTCAAACCAATGTTGTCTGGACGAAGCATTTTTTCTCCTAGATTTCCTATCGCGTTAAAACCGCCGATGGTTTGAAAATTTTGCCAACTATAGTCTTGTATCATCTATTTAAATTTTCCACCGGTTATCACGAAAACATATGGCTTCTACACAACACATGCGTAATGAAGACTGTAATGAATGAAGTTACAGTCATATGCAAATATCAAACTGATTATAGTTCTCTTCGGCGAATCACAATAGCGGAGGAAATATACTGAATGACTTTACTTGGTATGAAACAATGTTCAAAACGATTGCTTTGCGTTATTAAATTAAAATCGCCAGTGCTAAAGGTCATTAAGTCGAAAACATATTTTAGTGCATTTTTTCGCATTGATCGACGACTTAAAAAAAACGGCAAAAACCAACTAAAATCTTTCTTTCTTAATTATTCGTTTACATAGGCTTGCCTGAATTGAAGAAAAGGCCATAACCCGTAAAAAAAAAGTCTGTATGACGACAGAATATTTTTCGCATTGTCAATTTTTTGATTTACAGCAAAAAATATATGAATAAAATTCCTGCAAAAATTCACTTGTCCATTAGAGGAAACTTTCCTCGAAAGATGCGCTAACTTCTGGTAAAACTAAAGAATTAGCGATATTTTCATCCATTTTGTCATTTACAATTGTGAAACCCTGTTGAGATTGATTGATTCCTTGGGTTAGGAAGGCAAAAAACGGGGTGAAACAGCAGCGATAAGAAAAAATGAAATTGGCGAGCGAAGCGAGCCAAATTTTTTTTTTTTTTTTTTTTCGCCTTTTTCCCCCGGAGCCTGGTCCAAGCTTACATTATCAGCAACATTGAGAGATTTTTGGCAAAAAAACCAATTAAAACTTCCAAACACTGACAGACACGCAAATGACCACGCGGAGTGCACGCGCGCGCGTGCACTTCCCTTACTAAATCTGAAGAAAAAGAGAGACTGTTCGCAGTCTCCTCGCTATTTCGTCACTATAACAAATCTGTCCAATTTCACGCGGTTTAAAAGATATTTTGCTTTTCGCTATGCAATAAAGGGACTTACAGTTGATGGTCTACCTTAATGTGGTTGCAAGGCCGTGATTTTTAACACCCACAAGGCACAGCTCCAGTAAAAAGGTTTCAGGCCCTTTTCACCCAGTCTGGCCCAGGGTACAACATGAAAATGAAATACTTGCGGCCTGGAAACAGACGGCTTGTGTGTTCGGTTAGTAGACGATAAAAAGGCAAATAATAACATAAATGCTCTTCTAATAAAAAAATTGTAATAATTGTCTATGCAGTAGCAGCCTAAGAACATATTCTTACGTACGGATGAAGGGCTTTCAAATCCCTGAAACTTGGAAAGTGTAACAGACTAAACAACCAACAATCTGATAATTTTGTCAAATCAAAGAACATGAAGGGAATATACCCCAACCAAAGTATGCTAATTTAACAAAAAAGTGTAAATTACAGCTTTTGATGAAGGGCTCCTAAACTATCAACAGACGTAATCTGACAGAGAATGTCTAGACTTGCTACAAGTCGACCTCTCATATAAGTCCTTAAAAGTGAGCGAAGTGAGCTGCAAAGCATAAGGTCCAAAAAGTCTAGTGAATGTCTTGTTATCTGCACAGACAGTTGATCATTACATTATGAAAATTGTGTAATATGAGGTAATAAACTAGTAGTTATCAAAGATTAATAAGGTGTGGTAGAGATTCCAGTTGATGTGTCATAACACATGATTTTGAGGCAATGGAGAACAAGTGTGATGACGTGGTTCTGACATGAAAATGAGGCAACTAGCTCACATGAAAATGAGGTAAATTTGAGACAGAGAAAATGGCCACCCTTCATGGATGTTGATCCCCAGTATTCAAACGACACCCACCAGGAAACAAAATTAGCAAGTGATCTGTCAACCTCAATGATTAATGCACTTAAATGCAATTTACAGAGTTGACAACTAAGAACATTTTCAGTGCCAGAGGTTCACAGTTGTTCAGGATGCCCATAAACTTGAAGCCCCTAGATACTCCAGGCAACCAACTGATACAGTTAATAAAAATTCTTAAACTATCTTAAGTAACTGTGTATTGGGGATACGGGCACTAAACATGTGCAAAGAACTGAACCAAATATGAAAAAGCTTGGCCCACTAGCCTCCACCAGACACTCTTGGAGCTTTGTCACACATTGACAAAGAGTTAAGAACATCTGTACGGAAGCTACTGTATGGTTCCACTAACCTCAAGGTCAAACGATTCTCCACAAGCCCTCCACAGTTAAACAAATGTTTTATTGTGAAACAAGATGTGACAGTAAAACAACACAGTCCCAACCTAAATTCACATTAACAAAACACGGCATTGATACAGTTGAAAGCTTCACTCTTAACTCTTTAAGCTTAAAACTCCATATAACTAGCACACAAAATGACTAGTTTTTTTCTGTAGTAGACCTGAAATCTTTAACAAGGGTAATAAGCAAGCAGAAGAGATGGAAAAAAATAATTCTACATCATATATTGGAAGGGAAACAGCCAGTTTCGCCCCCCTTCACACTCTTCCCATTCCAGTTTGACCCCTGATATTGATCATAACTAGGGTTAACCCTTTAAATCCTAAGATCAAAATTTGAATTCTCATTTGTTGCCCCAATTCATTTCCCACAGAAGTAGTGGGGAGAAGTTGATAAATTATCAAGCAAATTCATCTTGTGTGATCATGTCTGTAATTCTCACGACCACTCTGTTTTACAATGCATTGATATTACAAGGAGAAATTTGATGCTGATCACTCTTAGGGCTTAAAGGGTTAAGCACTGACTATAGTGATAACGGTTAAGCGAATGGTTAAACACTGACTCAAACTGGTTAGCTTTCATTTTACTGTTAGGTTTTTCAGTCTATGAAGGTTAAGTCATGGGGCAAACTTAAACAGGAAAAACTCAAAGGGAGTCAAAACAGGCATTAATCATTGTAAGCATTTTTATCTTAAGTGCTAGACTGTTTACATTCTCCTATTTTCCTGTAAAAACATCAAGATTGAGCACTTATTGCTATAAACTCCAACATGTGTCCACTTGGAACATTTGAAACCAAGCTCGCCCACATTAAAGCAAGTGCTTGATCTCAGTGATATTACAGAAAAACAGGGGACTGTAAATATTCTACTTTATAGGTGCATTTTTCCCTACAACAAGGATGGCTGGTTGGGTAGCTAGATAGAGGTGATGAATGTTTTTGCACAGCCAGTCTACTGGTTTTATAGAAAAAAAAGTTTAATCCATCCTAGCTTTCAGAGTCCGTGTTGTGACTTTATCCTTTTCAATCACGTGTACAATTCCACCCCAGCCACTCACGGCATCTCGATCCACGGCATTCATGAGCGCTTGGGAGATGGTTTCAAACAGATCGTCCGGTTCCAAGTCCGGCTCCCAAAGTGATTCACACATTCCATACATCTGCTCTGAGCAGGTTCCGCTTACCACGAAATCCTTCGTCTCCATGGGGCATCCGATCAGATCCAACGCAGCGATGTAAGGCTCGTTAGTCTTCGGGTCTAATCCAGCGATTACAGGTTCCACGAAATACGGACCGAATCTCCTTTCGTAGAGCAAGTTGGATACCATGCTCATGAAGGTTTTAGGCTTGATCTGGCGGTTCTCCCGTAGTTCGTATAAGTTCTTCCGAAACGATAGACGGTTAGATACGGTCTGAACGTCGGTAGCCAAGCCAGGAAGACCAAGAAACAGCTTATCTCCCATCTGGAAAACTTTCTGAAAATCGCAAGACAATGTCTGTGCTTGGATTCCCAAACGACGATCTGCCGCAATGGCCACGCAATCTTTGCCAACCATCGCTATGATGGCGGCGCCGTTATATTCCATAATAGACATGTTTCTGGCTTTTTTTCTCTATCCTTTTTCAAAGACCTTTTCCCGTTTTTCTTTGTCAAAAAGCACACCACCGCGCCGAAAAGAAAGATGGCGGTTTGCTGAGTAATTGGAGTGGTTACCAATTGAGATGACGGGGCTACCAAGCAATCTTAAATGGCTACTAAGCCTCCATCCGAAGTTTTCTCTTGGGATCGGCTAGCGCTGGTAATCGCTAAAAATACATCGAGAATCGTTCAGATGAAGAGGAATTCTTAGCCTGAAAGACCTAAACACAACTAGCAATCATGAGTGGATGTTTTGATCAAATTCACTGCCCCGATTTCGAGGCAGTTACAGAGAGAAGGAACTTACTATCATCAATCACGGCCGGAAGTTTGGTGAGACTCCCAAGCTTTTATATGTTTGATGATGTACGAAATACTAAAACATAGCCAATTTTGATTCTAGTCTACGAATTTTGGCATTGTCATTCCTGTAGCAGCTGTTAATAACCATGCTTACTGGTCAGAATTTTTAAAAAGTGGGTAACGGCGACACAGCTATTGAAATAATTACTGTCAAACTCAGAAAACCTTGAACACCTGAAAAATTTCAGGAATGTTGACTGTGCACTGGCCAATCACAACAAGTTCAGGATATGCAAGCAAACCTCAAAACCACAAAATAATTACCGTTGCTGTTTGCAGGTCAGTTATCTTGCACCTTGTTGGCTTATTTCTCGCGACACAATAACATTCCATAAATATTTCTGGTGTTCACGGTTTTGTGAGTTTCACAGTAATAGAACCAAGGTTTGAAAATTCGGGGCATGAAGAGTACCCAGCAATTAATGTACTTAAGGCTGGTTTTCACCTGTGAAGGAGTTGTAGTCGGAGTCATAATCAGAAGTGTAGAGCTTATGATCTGGTGAAAACAGCGTTCCAATTCTGCTTACGCCTCTGTCGCTTTCGTTCCGCTCATGATCTAGAGAAGATCAGATTGTTGGAGTCAGAAGCAAAAGCGGAAGAATTAAACCAATCACAAAGCGTGTGAATGTGCATTGTGATTGGTTTATCCTTCTACTTCTGTTTCTGAACCTGACAATCTGGTTTTCACTAGATCATAAGTGGAATGTAAGCGACGGAGTCATATGCAGAATTGGAATGCTGTTTTCACCAGATCATGAATGGTTGGCTGTGTTTAGCCAAACTTTCTTCAGTATTACAACACAGTCAAACCACAAGGCCATGTAATATTGGGAGGTAGGGGTTTAACATCACACCAATGATGGTATAGTCACTTGGGGTATAGATCACGATGTTTCAGCCACTAGTCTTCTTCAGGTGATGAGGTTGAGTGATTGAGCAGTGGCCTTTGTATCATAATCATGAATGGTTGGCTGTGATTGGAGCATTACAATTCTCACTATTCCTGCATTTTGTTCCATTGCTGGTCTGCTGATGTTCCTTTCTTCTGTCATATTTTCCTCACCTGTGGCATCTTTGTATTAGGAGTTTCATTTCCTTAGTATCAGGTTAAAGTCATTAGGGTGAGATCTGTGCCACAGTATCTTACTGACCTGTAATTGTTTTCTATTTAATGTTGATGTCAACTAGTTGCCTGGCTCTACTAGCCTGTATGGTTATTCCAGGCAGCCAGTACTCTAATTTTAATTTCAATATTTTCATTGTCGTCACTGATTGTTAAGGAAGAGTGAGTACAATAATAAAGATTGTTATTTTCTTATGTAGAAAGCTTCCCTAGCCCAGCTACAACTCTAACTTACATCAGTACTCAACTCCACCACCCTCATGTCTTAGGTAGATATCCAGGCATCTTCACCTTATGCTTGGCTAATAACACAAAATTATTATATCCTTGCAATTAACAGTTCTTCATTGGTTGGTGGATTATCATCGATGCCGCAGCTAAAGATCCTTTTGAGCCTGCCTATCACACACCTGGAGCCATAGCCTCCTTTGCTTTGTTCATGTAGGTTTTTTTACATTTAACCTAGTGTTTTTTCTGAACTTCAATTTAAAGCATGGGATGGTTCCTTTTTCAGGGACATTCTGAGATAAGAACTTGTATCTACATCAGTTTCTTTTTGTAAAACTTGTGACCTTAATTTCTCATTTTCTCTATATGTAATAAGCACTCTTTGCTTCTTCTACTTCATGTACAGCTCCATTTTGTATCCATAACATGTTTTCCAAACTCAAATGTTGTATTGTGTTCTTCAAATGTTTGTTAATTTTCTAACGGCTGGTAAAAATTTTAGTTCTGAAAAAATAATAATTTTCAATGAATTTTTCCTTGTAGGGTAAATGCAGTTTCCAATGCCCAGGTCAGAGGTGAAACCTACACCACGGGGTGTATAGGACAGACAGGCAAGTTTGAATTCAAGTAACCTTAGCCTGTGAACAGGCTGTCTGTTTTGGGGTGGGGTGAAAAAATCGCGAGGAGAGGGAAAGAAAAGGGTGAGAGCCTGTGGACAAACATTTGAGGTCGCTATTCCGCCTTCTTGTCTTGTAATTGCCGATCATCTGTCAGCAAGATCGTTATCTGTCACTTGGATATATTGGAATGTAATCAATTTCGTGTGTAAAAAAGGGGTTGGTAGGCAACGCACAACTTTTACCTTGTTCCAAAATGCTGCTTTTTCGAGATTTTTCTGCTCTGGAGGGTTTAGTTTTAAATGAGAAAATGTGATTTTTGCCGCTTATTTGAGAGGTTGTGACATGCATATTGATGTTCTGTGGTTATTGTTTCTGGTCGGCGTGATTTGCCCTCTGATGCAAGAACGTTCATTGTGGCTAAAAAAGCTCATCAGTCAAGAGCCAGAAGACGCCATGTTCAAGATCAGAAGACCTGTTTACAAGCGATTATTTAAATCAAATCACATGCTACCTGCCGACCAAAAAAAGCAATGTAAATCAAACCTGTCGTCAGTCAGTGTTCTCACCAATGGGAGCTTGCATCAGGATCTGATGCACAGCAGGTGCCATGGAACGACAGTCCCAAATGTTTGTCTACAGGCTCTCACCCTTTGCCTTCTTTCTGCTCGTGATTTTTTTCACCCTTTCCCCAAACAGAGAGCCTGTTCACAGGCTAAAGTAACCCCAAAAGTGACCAAAAGCAATTTTCTTCCTAATGATATTACATTATTAAGAGATAAAAGGGAAAATGCCTTGATCTTTTATCAAATTCTCTCAACTTATTCTTTAAGGAAATGTATGGAGAACAGTCTCGAGAATTTGTACATTAAGATTGAGACTTAAAGGGTTAATTTCTTATCAGTAAAGATGAGCTCAGATGAGTATTGTTTTATTTCTTGCAAGGTGGTTGTATTTATGTGCATTAACACAGCCAATAATTCTTATGTGAATTCAAGCCAATATAATTTTCTTTTCAAACCCAAATATTGAAAACGACAATATTTGCATGGTAGTTGTGTTAATCCACCTCTAAAAACTTTGTCTTCTGCAGGTGTATGATACAAATTTAAAGTTCGACAGACTGCTTTATAAAAGTGATATTGGTCTCCTTACTTACCTAATAAAACTACAGTGGAAACCCACTCAATGGACACTTTCGTTTGTCTGAAAATCTCATTGAAAATCTCCCTTGGTATCTTATTTCCTTATATTAATTGAAGCAGGATTGTGCTAGTAATGACTTTACTACTAATAATTTCCAAATTATTATCTATTTTGTGACTAATGTCTTGACAGGTGCCAGGGTGTGGCTATTGATGGGATTTGTCCTGTTATTTGGTAGCTTAATTGCAGCCTCCTGGATTCTGTTTGGTTCTTATGTTGTTCCAGGTAATGTCACTAATCAGGGATGTTCATCACAATAAATTATATGCATGGCACAAAATTAGAAAATGTTGGTTGTTTACTGTCACATGGACAATCTGGCCGGTTCACAGTTTGGCCAAACAGTAAGCAAAATTCATGATAAATTAGTAAATTTTATTCTGAAATCGCATTTACCATTTCTACAGATCAGTTCCATTTTAGCGAAAAAGGGCCACGAAAGCCTGAAACTGTTATCAAAGATGGCTATGAAGAAATAGAACACAAATTTCCATTTGGAACATTCTGACTGAGAAAACAAGACTACCTTTTCAGAAGTTCAGTTGCTCCTGGAGATTTTCCTCTGGAACGACCCAAAGAGTTGTGTTCCAAAAGTAAATTTTACTTTCCAACTGGATTTTCTGGAAACGTTTTGTAAAATTTAATGGTATATGTAAACAACCACTCGGTCTCATTCCATGACTGCATTTGAATTTGTGAGCACAGTTCTTCTGATTAGGTTTGTTAGTTTCTAAGTTTGTCCACAGTATGCAACCTTTTGCTCAAATCGGACGACCACTAATTGTAAATTACTCATATGATTTCAGACCAGTTTAGACTTAGGGTATTTTTAACCTCAATTTCCTTCTTGCTAAAATGAACAGCTAGATTGTCCCTGCCTATGTGGAGGTCTCTCTAAGATGGACACATAGTTTCAGCTAGGTCCCAAAGGTGTTTGTCTTAGAGATAGTTTCCTGTGGTTACAAGTAGTTCTTGTTACTAAAAGATATGGTTTTAAGGTACAGTATATACCACCACCCTGACCGCTCCCTTAACACCACTACCTACATGTATGGCAATCCCAAATCACAGTCACCTCAGGCTAACAATAAAATTAATCTTACTGGCCAACATCAATTTATTGTTACATTTCCCATACATCATCAACAACTAAACCAATAACAACAACAATCAAGCGAAAAGGTTATGAGAATAGCATGTAATGAAATGACCACCAGTGGAAAAAAGTCTTTGATCTTTTATCAAATTCTCAAAACTAGTTGTTCAAGGAAAATGTATGGAGATCAGGCTGCAAAATTGGCATGTGGATTTTAAGGGTTTGCACATGCAGACATGCATACAGCACCCATTGGAAGTGTGCATACAATAGGGCCATTTATACAAGGAAAAATAAAACACGTCTTAAATAGGACACGAACTTTCTGTATAAACGGCACATTTTGTCTAAAATAAGATGCGACTTAGCTAAGACATGTCTTATTTTATAACAGCCCTTAACACCTGTTCTTAGATAAGATGCGTCTTAGCTAAGACGAGAAAAACTTTGCATAGTACGCATGCGTTAATTATTTTTGGTGCCCCATGTTGGATTGCCGTTGCTACGGGCAACATCCAAATGAAAACGAGTCAAGAACAGAAATAAGATGCGAACCATTTATACGAGCTGTTCTCGTCTTAGA